ATATCGTCACAAACAGAACTGCCCGGTAAAACCGTAGGCAGAGAGAGAGAAGAGGACAACAAACGAGGGGCTGTGACAAACTGTTTCGTCGGAGTTTCACCGACTCATCAGGAGGCTGAATATATATATATATATATATCATCAAATAGAACTGCCCGGTAAACCGTAGGCAGAGAGGGAGAAGAGGACAACAAACGAGGGGCTGTGACAAACTGTTTCGTCGGAGTTTCACCGACTCATCAGGAGGCTGAACCCTATTTGACGATATATATAGATATATATATATATATATATATATATATATATATTTTGCCCCGCCTATTTGACGATATATTTGCCCCGCCGGGCAAGTTGCCCCGGCCCACTCTCGTAGCCTGGCTAGTTACACCCATGTCTAACACAATAAGAGGGTAGCTCATACCTTACTAAACTTAGTGACTTGCATAATTTGACGATTCTTTTGAATTTGTTTCTGAAGAAAAGCTATAACAAACCTGATTGAAAACATGAAACACCAGCGACTTTTGTATTGCAACAATTGCTGCCTTCCAAGAACAATGAGCATCCATCAGCTGCACCCATGTCTAATACAATCAGAGGGTAGCTCATAACTTAGTAACTTGCATAATTAGACGATTCTTGGAATTTGTTTTTGAAGACGTGAAACACCTACGGCATAGAGGTAATTGCATCCCAAAAAAACAGGCGATATCTTTGGGCGGGAAATGTTACCACTCTGAAGTCAGATTCACCATGCCGCCCCACTCCTCTGGAATGCCCCCATAGAAATCATTGTTGTAAATCCATCTGCAAACAATGCCAAAATGAGATTTCAGCGGAAGATAATGAAAGTCAAATAAAGCACACCACACAAGCAAAGAAAAGGGATCACTTTGTTCAGAACACTCTCACTATGCAGTACAGTCCAGGAAAGTCATGTTCAGAGCAACCGCCTTGGGGAACAAGGGAATGAGTTTTTCTAATGCTGGTAACCTTTCACAATCGATAAAACCACGCACGCCTTGAACCGCCACCATATCAATGGCTACAGAAGATGAAGTTCAGGTACACAAGGTACTACTCACAGTTTTGTCAATGAGGTAAGGTTTCCAAGCTCTGGAGGAAGATTTCCCCGTAGCTGTGTGGTGTGCAGGTTCCTGTAGAATCGTTTCAACACCACGCACAAAAAACGAAAAGCAACAACCATTGGTCAGACCTCTGGTGAAAAACTGCAATGCGCTGCCAAGAGGGAGGGGAAGAGCCCTCGTCTACAATGTCGGATTTCATCCCTTCAGAAGCCGCGGATGCTCGTGTTTCATATGCTAACGCACGAAAACTGAAGGATTCATTTAGTGGTCGCAATAGTACAGCAATCGACAGCGAGGCAGAATGCCAAGCACAGCAGATTTTTTAATCCAAATCCACGAATGGGTCATGGCATCTCTGATGGACTAAGGACGGCAAGAGAGCACAGCCTATCATCCATCAACGGCCTACCTATAGGCTGTTTTAGCCACAGACCTGCAACGCACTGCTATACTAACACGCATTCAGGGACTACCGGTGCTGCATAACAAGCCAAGGGTTCCCCAGCTACTGATCTAATCAGCTTTCAAGTTTCAATCCATGGACAAGAAGATCTGTAGCACTGTCTCCTGGCAAGTGGAAGGTTCCACAGGTATCAGTTTTCATGAAGTGTCCAATACTGCCACCTGCAAAATGTAAACCTGTCTTCAGCTGCAGATGTGTATGTTCAGAATCTTTAGATTGCCATCAGAACAACCCTTTTCCACCCAGATGTGTTTGATTTGTAATCGAAAACAAGCTTGTTCAATGCTTTGTTTTGATGAGTTTTTTTAATTAAATGTGCTTGCCTTGTTTTCATCAAATTTTATGAATAGAATTATTTTATTTTTTTGTGTGTGTGTCTTCGTTGCAAAACAAACACCAAACTTGAAGCCCAAATCCATCCCCAAAGAAAACAAACGGGAATTGACAAAATGAGCGTAAGGTTCCCTAGGTCTGTGCGGTTAAGCAGGAAATGCCCACAGATCAGTCCACTAAATGTTTACTTCGCACTGAAAACGACAAATGCGCAAGCATCATCCCCAGTAGCAATGCACTCGTCTATTTGCATTCTGGTATTGATAATCACCAAGCTAGCAAAGACCTCTGCGTCTTAAACGCCAACACTGTGCCTTGACCATACATCGATGAATCAGATCCTCGAACACCTGAAAACTATTCCCCTAAAGCTGCTCTCCAATTGCAAAACGCTTACATACACAAGATGGTCCCCGTGAAACACATATTCAACACAGAAGCACTGCTGCCAAAAACACATTGCCCTACCCCATGAGCTCCGAAACAAGGACATCCTCCAGGAATGTCACCCACAGTTAATACTTCTGAATCGTACCAGGGAAGTCCCAGTTCACAACACCAGCCAAGACACGGAGCCACAAAAGAGTCATTGCCAGCAAGTCAACAGTGCATCCAATTCAAAGTGTCCCTGATACACGACCTGGACTTACAAGTCAGCCGGGACATACAGAGTTTGCACGGCACCAAAATGCTACAGCCTGAAGCAACCTGGTGCTTCGAAGGTACAAGCTCTATGATCCCACCCACGAGCATCCCATGACACCAGGCGAAATGGCACAAAACCCTCCCGCAACACAAGTAGTGCGACTGGTTACCAAACCTTGACCACACCCATCCATGTTCTGTGAAACAAACAGCCACTGGTAAACTCTCTAACCGTTCTTGCCAGTATCTCATTGCAAAAAGGACTAGGGACACTTAGCTGAACATCTTTAGAAAACACACCAGAAATGAGAATGGCACCTTAATTCAGTGCCCATGTGTATATACGCAGGCCCACCAAGTAGAGAAATGCCCCGAGGGAGACCATATCCAAACGACTAGTACCCACCAAGGCGGAGAGCTAACAAAACTAGTTTGTGGACCCGGAAATGTATGTGTGAGTGTGTGTGAGTGCAACCAATCACCAGACATCATCCACAGATCCATCCATACGTGTGTACAAGTAGAGCCAGCGTGGCTATGCCCACGTGAGGAGGGGGTAATGATGTAATTGATTTTTTATTTTTTTTTGAACACGCCCCCTCCAGTGCTAGCGGTGCAGATAAGAGCAGACACTGCTAGCACCAAGGGAGAGGCTCCATCTATTGGTGGGTAGCAACACCTGCTGGAAAACGGGTCCAGCATCCCTTATACATATTTGAAATCAGGTCAAGAGTCTCCTGCCAGCATTGATTTCTCTGGAATCCAGAGTATTGACTGATCATATTTCTAGCAAAAAAAAAAAGGGGAAAAAACCTCTTCACCCTGTGCCGGGCGCCAGATATTTGCTAATACAATCTTGTTCCTCCCTGCTCCCTCTTGATTGCGGATATATCGAAAAAAACTCTAGAAATCCTAGCTTCCCCTTTCTTCTCTCAATGTTTTTCTTATTGCTCCCCTCCCCAGCCAAACCATTGCGAGGGAGGAAAAGGGTCTGCAAAGAATTCTGGTGATCTGAGAGTTGCCCCTGGTTGAAGTGAGAACCAGTTCCTGAAGTTAGGTTGGAAGTCCTTTTTCAAGGGCTCTTCCTCTCTTGCCTCCCCTGGCCATATCACTTCCCCCAGATGTCCCACATCAGATCCCCCCAGCCAGTCAGAATTGAATTTGAATTGCTTTTGAAATGTCCTTTTTGCTGTGAAAACTGCATAATTTAACTTTAATATACGACCATTGAGCTCTAATTTCTGTTTTAATAAATTAAACCACAAACTCTGCAATTTCTACCCCCTTTAATTTGACATCTTCCTTTTCATGGACACACCTCTTATACCACAAGGTCCATAGAATTGCTTTACGTCCAATGTCAAAAAGATTGGATTGATAATTGGATAGAGAGATTCCAGGAGGTTCGTGATGTAATTGAAATTAGTGTGTATGAAACCTCCAATAGCGTCTGAATACCGGAACCGAAAAATGGGGGATATATAGGTGGGTGAAAAAGATAACAATGGTAGATTGTTTGGAAAACAAAAATAGGTGCATGAAGTACATGGGAGCTTAATGTGAAAGAATGGTGTTTTAGCCCCCTCCCAATAAAGACAGCCCAAACACCACCATGGCTTAAACACAGAAGTCGAACACCCCTCCATGCCATAAACACTACGTCACAAAGAATGAAACCCCTCCTAAGCCCTCGGGTTGTTGGGCTTCTACAACTGAGGGACTTTTCAAAGTCCGCTTCAACACGTGTAACTCCGCATGAATGGCGAGAACGGCCACCTGCCATACCCCTCTCTCTCTCTCTCTCTATATATATATATATATATATATCCATCTGGGCTTCCACAACTGAGGGACTTTTCAAATCTTCCTAGTTTATAATCCAGTAGTTCATAACCTATTGAATCATCCTGAATCTTCCTGAATCAGCCAGAATTCATCTAGAATCGACCTCAAATCATCCTGAACCATTATCAAGCATTGTCTTCCTATTATAAGGTACGCTGGGCCCGGTTCCGAGCACGTGCTGCTCCCCTGTAATAGATCGGAGCTTTGTTTTAAAAAAAAAAAAAAGGTGTAACTTCGCATGCATGGCGAGAACAGCCCCGTCCCATACCTCTCTCTCTCTCTCTCTCTCTCTCTCTCTCTCTCTCTCTCTCTCTCTCTCTCTCTCTCTC